GAACTCCATTCCTTAGACTTGTTTTTGAAAACTAGAATAAGAAATAGACTTGGTGAAACTCCCTTATTATTACAAGGTTGGCACAAAGTCTACTTAATGAGGTGCTTTTTACAGCAGCGGTTGATTTTTAAATCCCCCTTTTCATTCCTGAAATCGAAATGTTAATAGCACCTTCCATTGTGGTGTTCACTGCTAGCGTGCATCTTCTGTCCTCTGCGAGAAGCTGCATGCAATCTGGCTAGCAGGCTCTTGAGTCATAAATATAATTTGTTCAGGAAATAAAAATGTATTGTTTTCATTGTTAGAGGATGCTTCTAAATTGGCTGTATGTTTGTCTAATAATCACATCTAAAGCTGATTATTCTGGTAATAGCCTTAAGATATTATTTAAAAATAAATATATAAATGCACTACTTTTGTACTAATACTAGTTTTTAATCTCTTCTTGTTTCTATGAAGTCTGAATGAGATTTTCAAAATTGAATAATAATTTGATCCGTTAATCTTTTGAAGCTAGTAATTTTATTTTCCCCTCTTTGCAGTCTCTGAGGCTCGCAAATGAATAGAGCTTCATTACTGGAGTCTGCATTTAATAACCATTATCCATTATCTTGTAATTAAGACTCCCTGTAACGAATCATGAGGACAATGCAAAAATACATAGTACATTTCTTTAATGAACTGGAAAATGTTCATCTTGTTCTATTTAGTAATGAGTTGCTGAATAGTCGTTAAATCCACTGGAGAATAGAACTAGATGGATTTTGAAGACTATCTTGAGTTTGTAGTTAATCTATTAGAATTAAAATTTCATCTTCTATTTTTATCAACAGCTGATTAGAAGTCATTCTGTTTGACCAAATTGATTAGAAGACCATATACAAGGGCAGCTGTTGTTTAATGAAAGTTTTTAATGAAACTGTACCATAGAGACTTGTAATTATAAGACTTGTAAAAGCTTTGACTTACCTTATACTAGAAAAAATGAAAAGTATTGCACTGAAGGACTTTTAAGTGCTACATTTCGAAAGGGAAATTAAAAATATAATTTGGTGATGTTGAAGTTTTACTTCCATTGTTACTGGTTTTAATGTGACTATCAGATGTCCGTAGTGTCTCTCTGGAAGGGAGTAGCTCTGAAATATGTAACTCAGTTGTCTCTCCTGTGTGCTCCGTTCCATGCAAAGCTCAATCAGCTATTAGTTGCCTAATTTGCACATTGCACTTGCTCTGGAGTTAGAACTTTTTTTCACAAATAACCCTTTCTCTTTAGAATGGAAATTGTCATAGGAGGGTGCAATTTAATCACCAATGGGCTGAGTTAGTGCCTAGACAAGAAGCCTACAGAGAAAACTGTGGTCTTGCAAGGCACAGTGTTAGCGATATTGTTTGATTATGTTTAAATCACAGGATGCAGAAACATACCTGGCTTTGTCTTAACTTCCCATCAGGCTGAGACTAGCTGTGTGCCCATCAGCTGTGCCATCAGGAAGACGGGTCCCTGGAGTGTGACGTAGCACACCATCAAACTGTAGTCTAGGCAACTCTTGAACCAGCAGTTGAAACTTCCCTTCCTTACTCTAGGGGATGTTGTAGAGGCATCATCATTCAAATAAGAGACAAAATGGACCCCAAGCCAAATTTGAAGTGGAAGCAGATGCAGTTCCAATTGACTGAAGTGGGTGATACACTACTACATGATGTTTGAATTATTCCTCTTCTTCTCCCAATTACTTTTGATAATTAATGATCCCACAGTACACCTTTTCTAAGAAGTAGGTTCCTAGGGATGAAGTGCACCCTAATGCAATTAAAGAAATTTTGTCATTGTATCGTGTCAATGCAAGATCATACACTGTAAGGCAAATTTTTTGGTTAGTTTCTTAGCTTTTTGTTATATTGTGCTGCAGGATTCATTTTAAACCAGTCCAGAAGAGCAATAATGCACAAGAACAGTACACAAGTGTTCAGGACAGGCAGTAGAGAATATTGTTCACAAGTGAGAAACCAGAAAAAAACAAACCAAGGCTAACTCTCCTTCTTTAAATAACACAAATGTTTTGACCTTGTTACTGCATTATATCAGACCATGGCTTTAAGTGTAATAATTTGCAGTGTTACAATTGCAAAATGCATAGGAAGGGACTTTTTCCCCTGTTTACAGTATTACACAGCTGGTTTTGTAAATACATGTGGGATTTCTTTCATAGAATCATAGAATGGTTTGGATTGGAAGGGACCTTAAAGATCATCCAGTTCCAACCCCCCTGCCATCAGCAGGGACACCTTCCACTAGACCACGTTGCTCAAAGCCTCATCCTACCTGGCCTTAAACACTTCCAGGGAGGGGGCATCTACAACTTCCTTGGGCTTCCTTTCACTTTAAGCAGCTGTAGGAGATACCATGCCAGACTTTCAAATGAAAAAACAACTTCATGAAAATTATTTCTATTCAGAAAGATCCTTGTGAAAATCCTAACATTTTGAATTATGCAAAATTTACTTGGAGGAAATAATTTCCATTGCTGTGCATTGTTGTCTGATAACTAGAGGAAAGAATCACAAGCTGGGATGTTCATTTAGCTGCTGGGATGTCTGACTTGCTTTGAAACCAGATTGGTATCATCCTCCTGCTTTAACCTCGACCAGAGCAAAGTTAGCACTGGCGCCACAGGGACGTACATGTACAGGAATGCTTCATAATTGCTGTGAAGCATGAGGACATCTTTGAAGGGTGTGAACTACCTATGTGCAGAGTGGCTCTTGTTCTAAAACTACCATAAAGCTTTTTACTTCCTTTTAGGTTCTGATTTTATAAAGACATCTACAGGAAAGGAGGTGGAAAATGCGACCTTTCCGGTTGGAGTAGTCATGATGCGAGCCATTAAAGAATTCTACTGGCAAACTGGCAACAAGGTAATTCTTGCTACCTTTATAAAAATTAACCAAACAGGCTTACTTGGAAGGAAATAAGACTGTAATAGTTTCAAAATGCAGAACATATAAATCCACGTACATTAGCTAACGTGGCTATATGAGCAATAGGTAATGGAACTTCTCTCTTATATTCCTCATTTGCTAATATTTGTATACTTTAAAAAAAAACAAAAACAAGGCAGCGTTTTTGGCTTTCCTCCCTTGAATAACTGTCACTTCATTCCCTAAAAGCTCATGCAATCTTGGTGCATCCTCTGCTGCATTTGGGTTTGAGTTTTGTTTCACCATTTAAATGGTCATCTCCATTAATAACAAGGCAAATCTCAAGCTGGCAGTGATTGGCATGCTCCCATAAACCTCAGTGGAGCTCTGCAAATCTATAGCCATCAGGAGTCTGTCCAGTGTTCATATCTATTTTCTGACTTTGTTATGGCAACCCAAGGGATACATTTTGCTCTTTCCTCCCTTGCCAGAGGGGCTTTCCAAGGGGACAAGAAGGCAGATCCAGTTGGATCCTGTTGTCTGGGATGGAGGGAGGGAAGGACAGAGGCTGGAAGAACAACATGTCCTGGCACACAACTTTTATCTGTCAGGTCACTGTCAAGTGAGGTCAGTGGGGTCGGGGGGAGGGGGGGAGCGTACGAGAGAGCCAGTGATGAACCACCTATGCATCCATCCTTGTGCTGAAGCACTGAGAAAGGATGAGGTTGTCCAGGAAGGCTTAAGCCACCTCTCACCTCCATTATCCACAGACGAGTGGGGGCTGTCAGTTAGATCTGCTGCTGATGTTCAGCAGTGGGCTTTGTCCTCACCTGCAGCCTCAGGGGAGGAAAACATATTTCAAGCTAAGACCCTCTCCCCATTTCTGGGCCACCCTTCTGTCCTCTCCAGCTCACCCTCTGTCCCTTCTGCAGATGGCCTTTCACGGTATGATGTTAGGACATGGGATGAGCAGTGGGATTGGGGCTGAGATGGCTTCAGGGGCTGTTGGAGCTTGAGGAGCACATGCCAGCTGGTTAGACCTGTGTCCATCTGATCTCTGTAGTCATCTAGATGAGGCCAGCATGGATTCCTGAGGTGTCCTCACTCCCCCTTCCCCAGCCTGCATCTCTCTCTGCCACACAACTCAAGCAGCTCAGATATTCTTCCTTCTGCAAGATCATCATCACTGCTACCAACCTGAGGCAGATCCCTGGGGCCAGGTGACTCACCTCGGCACTGGTGCTGCTCACACAAGCTGTGTGCCAGAGGTTGGGCTCTGCTGTATTAACAGGGCTTTGTACCTATAATTGGATATAAATGGAGAATTCACCTTTTGCTTTAAAAGGATGCATTCATCGCATAAAATGTGTTATTAAGAATGAGTGCTTGTGTCTGTCTGCATGTGTGTGTCAGTGAATTAGATGTAAACTGACTTTATGTGCTTTTATTAACTGAAGACAATATTATCAGTGACAAGAGATTTCTAAATGGTTTCTTAAACAAACTAATTTTGCTGCAGTAGGGCTGCTTTCTAGCAAGGCGTTGGCTGGGAAAAACAGGTTAATACAGAAATTAAACTTCTTCGAGGAAAGGAACAAGTTGCAGAGTAATATTTATTGAATGATAAGCAGTGGTGGTGATATGAAAAGTGCGCAATATAATGGGAAATAATCTTTTCCTGTCGTTATTGAAGGACATACATAAATTGGTTTTTCTGTTGGGAAAACCCCCAATCCAGAAAAACTTATTACTTTTAATAATATAAGGTGAAGAGAAAATTCTTGAGGAGATGAACTTATTAAGCAAAATAATGAAATGCTGTGAAACAGCAGGAGAGTGGTAGCTGGACTTTGTACTGCTCTTGAATTAAATTCCGACCCCCCTTCCTTTTTACGTTTTTATGGCAGTCAGATGTGCCGTTTGGAAAGCTGGTAAATGGAGAAGAGGACAGGCTTGTCTTTGTCAGCTTTTTTGCAAATAAAAGAGCTTTCAGAATTTGCTAAAAGGGGAAGGAATTCTGCATGGTGTTTTTAATTCTCTTATTAACTCTATTTTACTTGGTTTTGCCACAGATTATCTCAAAGAGCTGCAATATTTTTAGGAAGAAATCTAAATTTGAATTTCATTAGAATTTCTAATTTGAATTTTCTAATGAAATTCAAATTAACTAGAAATGAGAAATTTATAATTTCTGAGGGGGAACACATTCCCAATATTTTCATTTATTGTCTAGAAGATGCTTTTCCAGTTGCTGTGGTTTAAATTCCTTTTGGAAATCTAATGTTATCAGATGTATGCATTCACTTGTGCATCCATCCATCCATCCATCCATCCACAAAAACACAGTCTTCATGTTTTGGATTTATCAAGCTTTTCCTATTATTGTTCTTTATAATCTTATTGGAAATATGCTGTTATCACAATGCTTCAGTGTGAGAGAAGGATTTGTTCTGTGTTTATTTGTCCTGAAATCACTATGAAAAAAAAATTAGCAAACACATTTAAAAACAAATACTTTTTGATTCCACTATTATAACCATAAGGTACAAAGAAATCCTCAATGCAGTTTGATTTCAGGAACATATATACAAAAATCAGAACGATAATTCTTGCAGAAGGAGGCTGATGGGGAGGAGTACTCGAGGTAAAGGTTTATGGCAGAGGGAAACGTAGAAAGAATCACTCTGTGCTACTGTACAGATATTTAAATTTATTTATTTTTTTGTGATAGTTTCACAGTGCAGAGACACTTTTTCCTTATTCTCCTTGTTTTTCAAGAGTTTAGTAAGCTGCTGCAGGCCAACGTTTTGGCTAATGCAGGTGACAAAAAATTTTAATGAGGGGTTTGATAGCTGCGTGTCACAAGCTCCGTCTCAGAATGAGATGCATTTAAATGGCACCCAACCAAAAGACTGGCATGCCAAGTCACCTCTGTGGGGCTCTGCACAGCAGCTTGATCATGGGATTCAAGACATGCTTTACCTCAAAGATAGGTTTTTCTTGGCCTGTGTGCCTCTACCTATGTGTCAGTTCACCTGATCAAGTACGACACGTGTCTCACATCAAGTGACTGAAAGCATATCCAGCATATGTTGGGATAGAAGTTTTGTAATTATAGAATCACAGGATGGTTTGGGTTGAAAGGGACTTTAAAGATCATCTAGTTCCAACCCCCCTGCCATCAGAAGAGACACCTTCCACTAGACCACGTTGCTCAAAGCCTCATCCAACCTGGTCTTGAACACTTCCAGGGAGGAGCAGCCACAACTTCCTTGGGCAACCTGCTCCAGTGTCTCACCAGTTCCTGTGAAGCACAAAACTTTAAATTTTTGGTAAAGACAGAGCTAATTTAATTCTCCTTTGGAAAATTTTAGTGAAAATTAAACCTCTGATGGGTTTGAATGTGTAGCTGAATCATGTATAACTGTGGTGCACAGGCTTTTTATAAAGTACATACTTTTTAATAAAGTCTATACTTTTTTTTAAAAGTATCTACTTTTTTATAAAGTATCTCTCACTGCTCTCCACGTGAGTCAGCTGCCTCATGTGCTTTATTTCACCATCTTTAATGTTATGTTATTACATGTATATTTGTTGGCATATATTTGAAATGAGATTGTTGGTATATACTTGAAATTAGATATGCAGATATCCCAGGTCCTGCCTAAATCCCGTTACCTAATATGTGCTATGGGCAAAGTACTCACATTAGACCTCAAACCCAGCTCCTGAGAAAGTGCTCTGGGGTCAAAAGTTGTTGTCCTTCAGAATGAAAATGTTCTCTTTGGCAGTGATGGCTGAGGGTTGATAGCTCTCAGCCACTAGTCCAGAGCTTACACTGTTTGCAGTCAGATCCTGACCGAGTAGAGTTGTTTCATACACCACAGGCACTTTGAGACTGCAGGTGTACAAGTGCTGATTGCTCTTCTGGGGTTGCTGATGAATGAAAATGTGTATTGAGCTTCTTTTTTTCTATCTAAAGGTTGGATTTAAACCTGCTGGGGGCATTCGGACGGCGAAAGAAGCTATTACTTGGCTTATGCTGGTGAAGGAGGAACTGGGAGTGGAATGGCTAACACCGGAGCTCTTTCGCCTGGGTGCCAGTAGTTTGCTGGAAGACATTGAGAAACAAGTTAGTTGTTAATGGTTTTCAGCCTGATGGAGAGAAAAAGTAATCTTTCTAAATGTGCTGCCTTACTGTTTTTGCAGAATATGGGGGTTTTTTTGGTGCTGTTTAAAAGATAATAGAACAAACATCTAATTCATTATTAATGACAAATTCACTACCAGCCCAGCATTTCTTTAAATTTGACCTGTCATTACAGATCAGGACTGATAATCTAGCAGCTGGCAATTGCCCGGGCCAGGTTTGCAATGCACTGAGCAAAGAGGCTCACTTTGCACATACACAGTCTTTTGCAAATGCATGGTAGTGCACTCCCCTGCACTCCTAGCTGTTGCCAGTTTATCTGACCCTCAAAATATCTCACAGACCCTTTCTGTCACTGTGCCACAACTGTTCACAGTATATTTTCATACTGTGGAGAAAGTCACATCTCATCCTACATACGGTACTGCTGATAGAGAAGTTTTTACATATTGATTATCTCCTGGGGAAGAAAAGCAATTGCCTCCTACAAAGCCTCATTTTTCTAATTGCTTTTATTTTTGTGCAGACTGATCACTGTGTTTCCTTGCAGACAAATAGTCTATGAGGTGCAGTGGCAATATGTAGTTCCCAGTGGGAAGAAGGATTCTGACCTACCTACCCACAATCTACCTCACTGGCACAAAGTGTCAACCCTGAAGGATACAGCATAGTTGAGAATAGTGTAGTGTCATAGGAATTACTAAACTATTAGGGTTGCTGAACTTCACTCCCATGGTCATTAAACCCAGGAGGTGAGGTGGTAGTAGCTGTCTTAAAAAATATAGAACAGCTGAGAGATGTCAGGTGAATATTCATGAGGGTTGAAAACCCTTGGCTCACTCCTGCAATGAGAATAGTATTGGCTTGCTTCATTGCCAAAGTGCCTCTGCCTCACTCTTGACCTAAAATCACATCCCTGGTTATGACAAAGCAGCACAAGCTTTCTTGTTGCCACTGCCGTTGCTGCTAAGTCTTACCACACAGCCAGTCATTCTGCCACACAATTTGTTCTGCTTTTTTCAGGGTGACATCCTTTTATCTGCCAGGGATTGCACAGATGCCCCAGTAATGACCAAAGCTCTGCTATACTGTGCCATCTAAAAACATGGAAGATAATATGTCCCAATCATTATATTAAATAAAACAAGCAGGTATTTAAAAACAAACATAGAAAATGGGAGAATACTTCTCCCACCCCCAAGACAGTACAGTTAAAAGAAAAGTTTGAAATGAGCTGTATGAAAGCATAAGCAATTTTGGATACTTTGAGTATCACAAAATAATACTGAAATCGTCAAAATCAGATGACAGTGAGAGTAAAGCACTGTCTTCTGCCTGGTTCTTTTTGAAAGCTTAGTTAAAAGCAACAAGATTCTTCACTTTTTTCTTTTTTTTCCAAGCAAAGCAGCAAGAGCCCTTAGTTCAGGTCCTATAAACAAGTATATAAAGGTATATTACATCAACTTTTATGCACACACACACACACACACACACACAAATATCCATCATCTTCATCTGGCCTGCCTTTAATTTGTTACTTCCTTGACACTTCCAGATTTATAGTCATATATAATTCCATCATAAATTTTCTTTTTTCTTGCAGATTTTCTATCACGTGACCGGCTCTTATGCACTTCAGCATGACCTGGCAATGGCTTAGACACAAAATCAACTCAGGATTACTTTTACAAAAGAAGTCTTTAAGCAAACGGCATTCAGAAGTCTTCTGACAACCAAGTGCATATGATAGAATTAAAGGCCTAATTCTCCCTTCTTCATATTTTATAGTATTTAAAAATATGCTCAAGTCTGCTGGTTGTACTTGATCCAAAAGTAGAAAAAATGGTAATTCTGAAATAGTTAAATAGTTAATACTTACAGATTTGCAAAGTTAATCTTGCAAAGTCTTCCTCAGAACCAGCCTGAAAAGCTTATTAATGGCAACAGTGAAATACTATGAAAAAGATTTAGGTGGCCTGGTAACACTTTGCAGTGGCAGAATATGAAATATCTCTGGAATGTTAGAGATTGCTAATTAAGAGCTACAGATCTTGGAATAGCTTTCCATTCACCTCAGACAAAATCTCCTGCCACGGATTTGTTGCACTATTAATTGTTATGTTGATTCAGTTTCGAGCATTGTAACCTGAGAAAATGAAACTTGGCTATTACTTTCTTTCATAAAATGTCTCTGTAGCAAAAAATCCTCCCCCCCACCCCAAACTTGGGCACAGACATCCATATTTAGACCCTTGAATAAAGGTGGCTTGATTTCTAGAACACCTGAGTATCCACAGTTACTCCTGAAGTTAATGGGAGCTCTGGGTGATCAGAACAACTGAAAATCAAGCAGCCTCTATATAGATGCCTAACTATGCATTCAGGGATCTATTTTTAGGCATTTCACTCTTAAGATTTTAGTCTAACTTGCTTAGAAGCTCCCATTCCTGTCTCCTGTCATTTTAAAACACATTCATGCAAATCTTTCCATTTTAATGTAGGGGGGTTTGACTGTCAGTTTGAAGGTGTCAGTGCTACGCTGGCTGAACTTCAACTTTGCCATTCTAAAAGCAATTCTTTAATTTTAAAGGTGATTTGAATTGTGTCCTACACAGGGTTTACAGCTTTAATGTAAAAAGTACTTTTCTCAGAGCACATTAAGAATAATACCGAAATAATCAACACCTTTTGAATATCAGACTGGAGCTAGTAGAGTCATTATTTCAGAACTGTATTCTGCTCACTAACCAGCGTTGTACTAAAAACTTAATTATCTTATCATCATGACTAGTCTCACTGACTTAAGTAGGTCTCATCAGGGAAGTAAGAGGAGGAGGATTTTGCTGTAAATCAAGCTACAAGGTACATTTATTACAAAGAGATCTGTGCTTCATAAAGATAACAACTCAGCTATTATCTGGTTATACCACCTGAATCACTAGCGCTCTACAAAACACCTTGGGCAGATAGGAAAGCTGAACAGGAAGAAAAAAATCAGAGGAACAACATCTACAGAAAGCAAAATCCTCTATGCAATGCTCAGTACTAAAAATAGGCCTAAATTTCCCAGGAAGTTGTTCATCCAAGGCTCTCAGCCTTTTGCTGATTTGGGTCTTAGCACAGAAAATGAAGCTGAGCTGTGACTGTATTTTCACACATTTGTTTTCCTGAAAAGTGGCCTTTTTTTTTGCCATGGGTTTTCCTTTCAGTTTCACTGACCGTTTCTTGAAGGAAAAATCCAGTGCCTGTTGCATATTTAGAGGAAAATTTAGCTGCTGAGCTTTCAGAAATATAGAGCCCGTTATATGAAGTCAGCTCCCACCAGACACTTGCCAGGTTGACCCTCTGCCATGCTCTCTTACCAACCACACACTGGATTTTGCTGCTGTTTATATACACCCATGTAAATGTGAGAGATTATTTCAGTACTTTCATAACAGAAAGATTCACCACACTTGCAACATACACTTTTTTGTTGTTCGTTGTCTTTAGGACATTTAGGGCAAAGATAGAAGCTATTTTTTGGAGATGCTTTAGTTTCTAGGTGAAGGATTCTGTCTAGTTCCTTAAAATTAATGAAGATCCAATGCCACCTAACTATTGAACGTGAGTACCTCTGACAACAGCTACGTGTTGATTAATGAACTTGCCAGGAGGAATTGTTTATATTTCAGTTGATGGTTCACCTTCATTTTGATGTGCACGTGGGCAGCTGCTGGTTACTTTGCTTCAGAGGGAACAGGCTCCATTTATGGAGGGAGAGGTTCAGGTTCCTAGAGAATCAAAGATAGCCACTTCCTTTTTCCATGAACATTACGAACACACCAATGTGAAATACTCTGCAACTCCAAGCCAACCAGTGTTTTGGGAAAACCTGGATAAGAAAGTAATGTAAATATTTTTTCTCTTGAAACCTGTATTTTTTTTTGGGGGAGTGGGGGGGCGGGGAAAGTAAAAGTAACAGAATCTGTAAACACATTCAAATAAAGATGATTGTGGTTTTGGGGTGGGGTTTTTTTGGGGATTAAGCAGAAGGCTCAGTGTTACAGAGTGACTGATTGTCTTTGTTAACTTCTCTATGACTCAGGTGAGTTGTATCCATATTGTCTGTGGTTGTGGACCCCTAATGTGACCCAGAGCCTCATCTCTCACTCCTCCTACAGAAGCTGGTTGTACCAGCCAGGTGTAGGTCTGTTGACAGCCCTAGGTGATGCGAGGGGAAGCCGGAGGTTCCCCTGAACTCAGCAGAGAGCCAAGGAGCGAGTGGTGCTCCATGACTGCATAGACTTTGGGAAAAGTTCAGATTTAGTGCTGTGCTTCAGGCCATTAGAAAAGGAACAGGCAATTATGTGCTCCCGTCTAAATATATTTCAGAGTATAACATATATTTTGTGCAAGTCAGTCTTGTATACTAATTTATTATTTTTGTAACACTTACTCATTTAGGCCTTTAAATAGCTTCTAGACCACATTACTTTGCAAAGAAGAGAATAAATTCAAGAAGTGAAGTAGAAACTGCAAATCTGGAAGATTCTGCATCAGCTTATTTACAGGAAGAGGGAATTGGGAGAGAGGGTAAGCTTTTTTTCTGGTTTGTAGGAAACAAAGATATTAAATAGTAATTATATGTGAAGCATACAGACCAGCTGGGGCAAGTAATACTTTGATATCTTTATTTCATCAACTGTATAAGTTCATTCTTTCATTTCCTTTATGAAGCAGGGAACATACATTATATACCATAGCACATGCCACTGAGACCGAAAAAACTGATCTACTTTTAATTTTCTTTTGCTCAGTTGGAACTTTGGCTCTCTGCCTCCCCTGGGTGGGGGGAAAAAAACCCTACAAAACAATAACAGCAAGTTTTATCCAAATCTTGGTGAGCTTTTCCTGAAATTACCAGTGTTGACATCTGGATGATATGTATAATGTGCAGTAGGAGTAGAAAGAGGGAACTGCTTTTAATTAGATGCAACTGGCCCAGGAGAGAAAGACAAGAGAGTTGTCCATCTGGTCAGTCCTTATTTAATAGGGCAATCAAGGATAAGAGTATTCTTAATATGCAAAGACACCATAGGTAAAATTACTGATTGACCATTTTTATTAAAATCTCAGAAAGCTGATACTGAGCTAAATTAAGAGGTGATAAGACTTAGAAAGAAAGAAGCATCAAGAAAGGTTGCAGTCCGTGCACACCCTAAAAGCAAGAGTAAGCAAGTGATGGGTGACTACCAAGTCCCAACCAGCTACATGGTAGAGATGCTTCCTCAGTTCTTTACAGATACTTCCCCTTCTGTCAGGACCTACAGTAACCACTTAACAAGAGAAAGTGTGACAAAGTTCTGATATCCTTTAATGAAATTTAACATTGATGCAATGAAGGAGTGCCAACAAGACGCTCTAGCTATTCCTAATGAGTCTAGAGATTTTAAGTGGCTCTGTTTTGAGCACTGGGGACATCTTGTGGATTGCTAATTCTTGGAAATTGCAGAAAAATTGTTCTTCTGGAAGCAAAGCTTTCTTGAGGCATAACAGTTTCAGATCTCCAGATCACAGGGAGTGTTTAAAAACACTGAATTGTGAAAGCATCAGTTTAGAATTGCTTCCTTAGCTGAGATGAAAACAAAGGAATTTTTAAAGAATGTTAACAAACTGAGGAGGCCATACTGGAATTGACTATACTTGGGTTTTTTCCAACTCTTGCTTTCTCTATGGGAGGAATAGAGGCAGGAGCTTTGCAGGCTCAGCTGGTGGAGATTAGCATAATTTCTGTACAGTACATTGTCATATAAAACCAAACCCCAAAATGGATGATGGTTTACCCAGAAAAATAAGGGAAACCTTTATAAGCTATTTTTCATTTTCAGTAATAACATGAGCTGTGGTTTTATTCAAAGACTTAGATGAGTTCTCACCTATTTACTAGTCAGGACAAACAAGCAAAGCAGACAACCAGTTAATTTCCTACATCTGGGCTGAGGCCAATGACAAGACTGGTTCAGTAATCCTGTGGGTAAGGGGTCCCCACCACTGTCACAACCTGAGAGCACGTGGGCTGATGGAGGAGCGTGCCAAGGCTGCAGGAACCAGCCTGTGCTCTCACTGCCTGAAAAGTTGCCCAGGGGGTGGAAGGTGCTAAAACTGTCTGTAGTATTTACTGGTCCATTGAGAACTTGTTTTTTTCCAGCCTAATGCCCAGACCTGAGCAACCAGCTTCTGAGGAGAAGCTGGAGAATGCGTATTCTCCGTGATTTAATTACATGTAAGTTGATTAAGGATGTTATCTTCATTTCCAGGGGAAATGAAACATTCAGCCGGCATCATGTCAGAGGAAAAAGGCTGAAAGCTGATGCATCTCAGCATTGGCTGCTTTCTCTTGCCTTCAGCAGAGTCTTGGGCTTTCTTCAAAGTACACACACCGGCTGACCCAGAGCATGATTTCTTGCTCCAGCTTATTTCAAGGCATGAATTAAACCAGAGTGAAGAATGACTATCCGGGCTCTGAACAAGAAGTGCTTTAAATTCTCATTAGCACAAATCTGTCCAGTTCCCAAAAAAACCCCTGTGAATGCCATCACCCCGTCTGACAGCAACTGTAACGAGGCCTCTGGGAGGGCAGGGACAGGAAGATGTAGATAAAGGAAAAAACAGAGGGGTAAAAAGAGAAGTTGGGAGAAGTAAGAGAGCTCATCGCCACTGCTGTTACTGCTTCACAGCAGTGTAATCTTTTGTGATCTCTTTGGAACAGGAAGTAAATAATAAAACACAAGGGAGGGGGAAAAAAATTAAATAGATGTAGA